TATCGGAATGCCTGATACCGAATGTATGGTTTCGATCATTAGGCTCTGGTCAATGGTTATGACGAGAAATGTTCCTAAGTGTTTATATAATCCTCACCTGGCAATTTTTCATGATTTGACGCGCACGACTTATAATAGTTGGAATGTATGTTGTGTTATGGTAAGGGGTTATAAATTATAATGATTATATGGATTGAATTAAAGTTGGTCAAAACATCATGGAATTCAGCCACTAATACTGTGATATTAACTCTAAATAATTGAGGCAATTAACCTGTAAGGAGTGCTGTCTTGATCGATAGGTTTAAAGAGTATAAGCTGGTTAAGAATTAACCTTCTATTATATGTGTGTGTCAAGCATTTAGGTACCACCGATGTGTTCGTCCGCAAATTCTCAAGTCCGTTTTCTATTAATAAATTGTGCTTAACATTGTAAAGAGCGCTCACATTGGATTTGTATTGTAGGTTTTTGCAATGTTTTCATAAATCATGTATTCTGGAAGTTTTTGCGGCGTGAGCGTACAATAAATAGAAATTACCTGTTTACAAAAGTACCGTTAATGTGCTCAAAACGGGTTTGTAACGTTTTTCAACCGTGACCGTAATGTGTTCGAAACTTTACAGCAATTTGTTTTAAATGGGTACGTAATGTTTTTGAAACATGTTTGAATCGTATTTGGAATAAGTTCGCATTTTTCGAAATGATTTTGGAATTTTCCAAAATGTTCAATCACCCTCACTGTTTTCAATCGATTCCGATTCCAGTCGACTTTCCTTAAGGTTTCCAATGAATTACTGATGTAAACTTTATATATTATTATTAGTTTTGTCAATTCGTAACAAAATATTCAATGCATCAAAGTTGTAAAGCGTTTCGATAAGTAGCCGAGTTATAAAACTTTGAAGCCAAAAGAGAATTGATAAGAACACTGGTCATTTAGTTTGAAACCAAAAATTTTATCTAATTTTAAACGTCTTAATCATGTATCTCAACTACGAATTTCTTCTAAGCTCATAAAATATTCGACGTAATCAAGCTATTATAACTACATATACTTTATAAATAATTTTAATTGCAAGCTATATGATCAGCGTTTTTAAATAAATGAATACATATACTAAGTTTGAACTAAAAAATACCAAAAACTCAATAAGAAAATTTCAGTATTGGAAATTAGATAATTAGTTATTGAAAAAAGCTTGTATACTGGCGATTGTTTAATATATTAATATAGAATATAGAATATTATATCTATATATTATAGAATCTATATATTAATATAGAATATTGTTTACTATAGAAGCTGTTAGGCCGCGTCCAAGGAGTTGTCTTGAGCAGCGTTGGCTTAATTAATGGCGCCGCTGCGATGACAATTGAAACACTCAACGAGGTTTTCATGAGCTAACAAGTAAGCCGTCAAGATACATTGTCTTAATAATTTCGGGCCTCAAAGATAAAATTCAAAGCTAATACAGTTTGAATATTTAGAATAGTTGGCCGGAGTTAGCAGTCTTTTAGCGCATACAAACAAGCCTGTTGAAAATTTAAAGGGAAAATGGGTTATTGAAGGCAAAATTTTTCTGAACGGATTATTCGGTGATTTCCAGCATGAAATTTCTGTTAATAATATAAATTTTATATAATCTATAGTTTTATTTCAAAATATACTGATTAGAAAGTTCGGAAATGTTTGTAATAGAATAATAATCTGCAGGGAACAACTCATCAGAATAGTTAGTATTGTTTCGTGTATAATTGCAAATACAGATGATAGCGAATTAGAAATATATTAGAATAATACTAGAAGTAACTACTTATTTTCCAATAAAATTTATACTAAAAATTAGTTTGGCATGAACATGCGAACATGCGGCCACCGTGTGTTGCGCCTATGCATTTACCGTGCTACCTATAAACACTCCCACAAAATATCATTTCCACGCAGTTACTAACCTGAAGAATACTGAAATAAGTTTACCTCATTGTTCTGGGGATGATCAAATTTTTTATATTGAAGAAAGAATAGAACCGTGATGGTTTGGTCGAGCAGAGCAGCGTTAGCTTCCTCTACCACCGCGGTATGTGCGACCATCAGCACGACGTTGTAAGGATGGATTTTGTCTGAGCTATTTTCCCTCACGCGTCCCATGTACGCTTTCCCTCACTTCCTGCCAACATGAATATTCAAATTAACTTTAGGGACAAATTAATTATCATCTTAATGAGTTTGAAAGATTAATTAAATGAGTGGTTTGAATAGGCGCGCACTTAATAGCTCATAGAGAACCATTCTCGAGAATTCGGATTTATTTTTATAAGGCATTTCAAGAGAAGAGAAGCTGAAATCTGTTCATGAAACTCTTATTCCCATGTTGATTTCTTTGTCTTGGAGACGACGCAGCTTCCTTCGCGTCCTCAAAAGGCGGGACAAAAAATATTCTCTTCGGTCAGGAAAACGGACATGAAGTAATTTTTTCTCCTTTTTCTAATATCAAAATCCATTCAGTAAATTATTTTTCGGTTAGTTAAATAATTTATTCACCTTCTTTTTCTATTATCAAAATCCATTCAGTAAATTCACTATCGGTTAATTTAATATGTTAAACTTTATAGTTATTATGTTTATTGTGTTTGCAAGTGAGCATAAAAAATGTGAGAATGAATGATTAAATGGAGTTCAGTAGAGTATAGAAGTGCTGAATCAAGTCTGTGACAATTTGTATTTCATTATCTGTTGACAGTGAACAATTTTTTTCAACAATGACCGTTTTAGTCTGACACCAGAAGTGTTTAAAATTTGTTCAATTATAAAAAGATTTTTCTTCTAAATTCATCTATGGTTGTATTTTAAAGGATCACAAGTACAAGATGCGTGACGCATATAAGTACACGCGTGACACATATTAGTACAAGCGTGACAGATATAAACACATACAAGTAAAAGCGCTAGCACACTAGTGATGCATGACTGTTCAAACCTGTGAGCCATCATGTCCTTGTGATCGTTCATGCAACAGGAACTTTCCTATCAAACTCAAGTTATTACAGTTGGCAAATTTTAACAAGCCACATATTATCAATGTGACCATAACAGTTCCAATGGCAATTAGAACTATTTACTGCAATTTCGTTTGCCATTGCCTCGCTTATTCATAGGTTATTCTCAACTTTATTGATTGGTATAGCAAATTAATTTATCCGACGGTATGTCAATATCGCTCGTGGGAGACTGAAAGAATTTAATCTTTACCCACTTGATATAATTTAAACGTATCAACGCTTGGACGTTATTCCTAGTTGAAGTCACCGATCACCAGCAATATGAACGCAGATGAAGTGAGAACGCGCCTACGTAATTGGATCGAAGCGAAATCTTTCGAAGATCGCAGAGTCGTCGACTCAATGAGGCCACTTCTGGCCGCTGTGTTGTGCCCATCGCGCTGAAAGTGTCCGAATCAATTGATTCAATTAACGCGTCGAAATTAATTCAGTGAGCCTCAATATGGTCGTGATCTCGAGAGCCCTGTAGCTGCTCTGCCTCGTGGTCCCAAATTGATACACATGTGTGCTCAGGATGATCTCAAGTTTTTGTTCTGCAGGCGTGTAAACAAAGCTCCAGTCAGTCGAGCGATTTAGCTCAGCTTGAGCTCTCGTTGTTTGCTCTTGAAGTTTGCATTACTTGTCTTTTTGCTTGGTTTTCTTGGCGAAGGCCTGAGCGAAACCATTAACCGGCCAGAAATGGATCTCTAAAAGTGTAAGCCTTCGCCTGGAGTCCGAAGCACATTGCTTCTTTTGCACGAGTTCGTAAAGATGAAGTTAGCGTGCACTAAGAAATTGCTTGCGACCAAGTGGCTTCGTAGCCATGCATGGGAATGATGGCCGGGGCTCGACGTTCAACTTCTGTTTTGGTCAGAACAAAAAACGCCTCCATCGGCCCCACATCGCTGCATAAACGCTAATTGCATCGCTCAACTTTTGCACGATTGCTCGACCCAAAAATTGAGATGAGATCGTGGCTTTAGTAAAGCAAACACGAGGTAAGAACTTGGCAAATAAGAGAGCAGCCCTCAAAGAAATTGGCAGTCAAAAGCACATGGTGGAGAGTGAGAGTGACTTCTAAACGCCCTCCGGCAAGTTGGGCTTTTGGCCGAGGCAGCTTCTGCTGGGGTAATGGTCTGGTCCAAAATACTTGCCGGCGTCAAGTATTGTGAGGCTTTTGTCTTGAATTGTGATGAGCCAGTTTCCCGCATGCCACTGCAGTTACTATGGGGAATTTCCATCGTCACATCAAATTCTGTGCACTTGAATGGATTTTCATTTGAAAACTCTGGAATCGGATGTTACTACTATGTTTGTTTTAAATTCAACGTCATGTGGTCTTCATTAATATATAATTATTATCTAAAATCCCTACATTTTCAACTAGTTCACACATCGAAGTTAAATTTAATGGAACTCCATAATTTCTCCAAGATGATTTATTCAATCGGGGTTCGAATCCAATATTCTCGGTACATGAGTTTGACAAACGCTAATGCCTACCTATGGGTGCCGAATTCATCTTGTGAACGGAAATGAATAAGATTGCCCTCTTATAAAAACATATCAATGTGACCTCATTTAATGCGAGTTCACAACATCAAACCTTTATATCGTGACATTAATTATATTCATTTCGCCTAGCCGTTATTGACCACGTTAATTGAATCCTGGTTTTGGTAACCGTAGAGTATATAGAATTTTGTACCTGGGAGCTCTCAAACCTGTACCTGGGAGCTAACAAGCATAGGAAAAGGATTTCCTAGCGAATTTTATTTATACAATTTTGTGAGCTACAATTTCATAAGGTCCAGCAGAGAACTCAGAATTCTTATCCCTTTGTAAAAATATGTTCAGAAAAATCCTAATTCATGTTCAGTAAGCTTGTCATGAAATTAATTTGAAGAAACAGGAATTAAACAAACTGGGTGGGTTAAATATTTATTCCTAATTTCATAAATTACGACTAAGCATTTAAATTAAAATATCTTAAATTATCTCACGAGTAGGAATTCTTTAGTAGCCGTGCATCATTAACATTGCAAAAGATTTCAATGAACGTTTACCTTAATTACGCACGCCAATGCCATATTGCATATTTTACGAAAATCGCCAACATCAATAACGCGAGATCATCAAACTCATCTAATCGAGTTGATTGAAAGAATCAACCTCATTAGCCAAATTGATCGAACACGTCATATGTAACTGCACGACTTGATTAAGAGAATCGACTCCACCTGGGCGATTTGATCAAGCTTTTCATTCCTAATCGGACGAATTGATCGATCAAATCAATCTTATTTGGATTAATCAAGAATTTCATCTTTACAAGGGCGAATTAAACGAACGCGTCACCCACAGTCTCTCGTAAAGCATTCATCTTTACTCCCATCGTATATGCCGGATAACAAGTCAGATTGGCTTATCAACATCTCTGAACGACACGCATGAAGCTCACCATCCACTCCTGGTCAGGTTGACTTAGTTGACCGCTTGACTCAGTTGACCTCTCATAAATGAAGTTAAAAAGCACCCAAATTCGTCAACCACTATTGGTCTGGTGAGGAGTTCGAGCCTCTTAACCCCTCTTGGCTTGTTTGACACGGCGTTCGATTTCGTAAAACACTATTGGACGGTTTGAGGAAGTTCGAGCCCTCCAACCTCTCCCAGGTGGTACATCTTTACTTCCAATATAGTACGTCAACCACTCAGGACGGGTTGACGAGGCGTTCGAGTCCTTCAACCGCTCCTGGATAGGCAGACGAAGCGTTCGAGCCCTTCAACCTCTCCTGGGTAGGTTGACGAGGCATTCGAGCCCTTCAACCTCTCCTGGATAGGCTGACGAGGCGTTTGCGTCCTTCAATCTCTCCTGGATAGGCTGATGAGTTGTTAGAGTCCTTCAATCTCTCCTGGATAGGCTGACGAGTTGTTAGAGTCCTTCAACCTCTCCTGGATAGGCAGACGAGGCGTTCGAGTCCTTCAACCTCTCCTGGATAGGCAGACGAGGCGTTCGAGTCCCTTCAACCTCTCCTGGATAGGTTGACGAGGCGTTGGAACCCTTCAACCTCTCCTGGATAGGTTGACGAGGCGTTCGAGCCCTTCAACCTCTCCTGGGTGGGTTGACGAGGCGTTCGAGTTCGTCTAGCTCCTCAAGATCGTCCTCGGCGGCGGTCTGTAGCCCGACCGACATTAGCTCAGCCAACGCTGCTCCGGTGGCCACGTTCTCCTAATGTAACGAAAACCATTAACTTCAATTGTTTCATTTTTAATCGTATTTCCTTTTCCTGACGATAACAAACTCAGCAACAATAAGTAAAACGATGTCTAAATTATGTTTGGTGCAATTAATTAAGAGCGGCGTCTGTACTATTAATCTTGTAGGCGGGCGAAAATGTTTAATGAGCTTTTCAAATACGATGACGATCAGACGAATCAGCTAATTAAGGGATTCGGGAATGATCTGCAATATTCACCTGTGATGTTTTACCTGTATTTGCATGTGTTTTATTTTGTATTGTGCATAGTGCAAATCCAGTAATAGCAAACGTCCCGTATTACTTGACTGCACAAATCATCTGTATCATGTAATACTACATAATCAAAAAATCATAACTTAATCATTTTTTCGATATTTATAGAAGCATTTTAATGACACATTCGTAACGTTTACATATTTTTTATGGATAAAATGAAATATTTTGTTATACCTGCAACATGTTCAGAGCCAAATTGCACGTCAGAGAGTCGCTCTGCAGCTTCTTACTGTAGTTGTACACCAGAAGATGCCATGGCGTAGACGACAGAACCTTCTCGTCTTTCATATCATTGAACCAATCTTGACCCTGCAGAAAAATATAGCAAGAGTTTATTATGAGTGCAATCATTTATTGAATCCACTTATTTTATTTGATGAAACAGTATGGCAGTAATGAAATATTTAGTAATTAAATTTTTAATCTACTATGTTGATTTGAAAAAAGTTTATTGCAATTGTGTGGAAAATAATGCGAGCCTTTGAGAACACGGTGTACTCTACCAAGGTTAAGAGGAAGTAGTTGCTAGAGAGCTCACAAAATTATTAATATCACTTGTCAGGTAGGTCCTAACTTTAGAAAGCTTCAGCAAAAGATTAGATAAACTCTAACATGGGTAATGGAATTGAAGATACCAATGTTGAGTGTGCATATTGATTGAACTTAAATGCATGTATAAATTTACGATCCAGTCACTGTCCAGTTGTAAAGTCACTTTTGAACACTAAAAATAAACTAAACAATTCATCACCTCCAATATGTGGTTGGCTAGAGCGTTGAGGCTGTTCGCGTCCATATCTAATTTGCCGTAGGTTTTCTTCATTTCTTCGAGGCCTTGAGGGGAAATTTCCCTAGCCATGTCATAAAGAACCGTCCACACCAGCATATTGATCTGCTCAAATGCATCTTGTTTCTTTAATGTTCCAACGCCAGAGGCTTCAGAAGAGGTTTACTGGCAACAAAAGTCACCCTCCCGGCAAAGGATGTTAAAATAACGTGGAATTGACGTCGGTTCATCCAAACAATGATTATTTTGTCGTTGATTCAGGGTTATATGTCCGGTGGGTATGTATCATATAATACTAATAAACAACAGCAGTCGTATGAGGTGACCATAGTGAAAGGAGTAATTAAAAATTGTCATTGCTTTCTTATTAAGTGTCAACTGACTGGAGGATTCGTTGACCAAGTTCGTGAGGGATAAGTATAAGACACCATCTGTCTAGAGAGCTTATCTTGATACGGGGTGGTTATATATTAGAGCTATATTATTGGCAAATGGCGAAGACGTCGACCGATAGGTCCGAGTAGCTCTAACGCTAGTTACTCGCGACATGCCAACTTGTCAGCTTCTGCGGGGGCCTAACTAAGGTTCCCTGCCCTTTTATAGAATCACGTCTTCCGCCCGATACTGAGGTCTTGATCGCGTGATCTACCACGTTATGTTGTCCAGACGCTGACTCAGGTCTAGTACTTTTCCATCAATCTCGATCACGTTTAGTGAATATTGCGTCTCAAATACAGTTGAACATATCTTGCAATATAATTATAATGAATATGATGAGACGCCGGATTGAACCGGTCAAAATTGACTTTCATCCAATGATTGAGTTATTTAAATTTGTATACAAATTCACTAGCATGAACAATAGTGAGCAAAGGCATCAAAAAATTGTTTGCTAAATATTTTTCCTGTTCAAGGAGAAAGAAATGCTCTTTGGAATTAATAATTAAGCTGGGTTAACTCACCTCGTTGCTAACAACGGGCTTCAAAAACTCATCTTCTGCAATCCCTCCAAGCTCACGATCAGCTTCAGCCTGGAAAAAACAACCAATAATGGAAATGTCACACAGTAAACATGCATTAAATTGTGTTCTAAGAGATCGGTATTCGAATATTAGCCGAACATTCATTAGGTGATTACAAACAATAAATTTATATGGCTCGATTGTTCAGGTGCTCGTTCGTTTATTCTGCCTCGTGAGGTGAAAAACCCATGCATGCATCACCATTATTCAGGTAGACATTAAACCTCCTCTCACCTCATGTCAAGACAAGCGCGCTCACCTCGCGCTGCTCGTCGCGCATCGCCCGCTTGCCAAGACAAGCGCGCTCACCTCGCGCTGCTCGTCGCGCATCGCCCGCTTGCCAAGACAAGCGCGCTCACCTCGCGCTGCTCGTCGCGCATCGCTCGCTTGGCGATCGCCGCGAGTTGCTGGTCCACGGCCTCGCGCAGCAACTCTTCTGTCACGGCATCCGAGTGTCTGGGATTCTGATCCCATTCCTATAGGAAATATTTAGTTGAATCACTGAAATCGAAATCGTTTCTCATGTAAGCTATATGTATAAATATTCGATATTAGAGAAATATTCAAATATTAAGTGCGACGAACCAATATTAATTAAAAATAAAACAAATAAGGCAGGGAAGATAAAAGAAAACTACTACACAATTGAAGTATAGACAAACGTGTAATTTATCCATTGAAATTTACGATCCATTAGTAACATCCTTGAATATTACATGCAATTATTTATGAACATTATATATAAGTGATCCTATTCTTGATTGAATAATTCTTCATCAATATTCATTATCATATACAACTTCACCCTCTGGAATTCAAGCACAACAAGGGGCACCCTCTTACTTCATTTCTCTGCTGTATTCTCCTCTTCTTCTCCGTGACCCAGGGCATCTCCGTGACGGGCGCCAGGGTCTCCTCGTCGGCCGAGTAGCACGGCAGCGGGTGAGGCTCGTCGTCATCATCGTCAAGGTACTGCAGGCCGTGGCTGAGATAGCCACAGAAAATTAAATACGTTTGTGTACGATTTTAATTTTATTAATAAACTGGTGTGGCTGAAAATAAGGATTAATAATTTTCGACACTAAAATTGAAGGGGAGAACGAATTCTGATATCAACAGGACGGAAGTACTGTAGAAAATTTCAAATTATCCTTGAATGTCTGTACAATAGCTGTCTTATACGTATGCATTTGTTATAACTGAATGACGGTGAGACGAAAATATGTTATTAATAAATAAGCACCAAGTTGCACTTTTGTTGAAGTCTCTGAAAATCTATCTCTTATAAATTATACGAAATTATAAATTTTTTCTATAAATCGGGATCTTATTCGTAATTTAACAGTCCAAAAATAATTTTTGCACTACACCTAATCAGCAAGCCCAATGGTTAAAAAACGTCTGAAGGAGGCTAATAACTGATAACGAAGTCAAATTATTTTGAATTGAACTATACTTCGCAACGGAAGTTTGCAGAAAATCTGCTATGACTATCGGGTTAGTTAAAGTCAAGGAACTGAAAATAAATTCGTCAGGGTAAAAGTTTCGTGCATTTTTCTGGCTTAATTCATAACCTAAGACCGTTTGCGATGCCAAAATGAACGTAAATATATTAGGTAATTGATTATTGTGACGTCACCTGGAGCTGTTGCTTGGAAGCTTGGCGTAGCGCGCTGACCGCAGATCAAGCGGCGCGCTCTCCCTGAAACGCTCGTGACCGGGCGGTGTTGGTAGCCTGTTGTTGGAGAGTGAGGAAGAAAACTCAATGAACAAAACACTGAACTCATTTTTCAAAGACTATTTTCATTATATCAGCAAATCCAAAAGCTAGTTATGGAATAAAAATTATCATTTTTATCGCTCAGTGAAGTTTCTGTCATTATAATTATTCGAAGGTCTGCTGACACAATCGACCAAAAATAGTTCCTATGCTTTGCTTATTTTTTGAAACTGTTATACAATATTGCACATGAAAATAATAACAAAATCTTGAAACACATTCAATATAAGTTATATATGTAAGAATTAGAAAAAGTCTGCCACTATCAACAATTTGACATAAATTGGCAATCCCCGTAAGGGAACGAAATAGAGTTTCAAAGCGAACTTTAATGATACTCAAATATTTAAAAACAAAACAAATATTTATGGTGTGAGAGGTGCCAATGTCCAATGAAATCTTCAAAGACTACATTACAATGTATGGGATACTAAAAAAACTTCCTTCTTGAATCTTACTTTGCCTTATTTTCATCTACCCTAAACACGAACTATCCTACTCCTCTAGCCTCTGCCCTAATGTTGCTCCTACCTGACCCTCCTTCCTACACTAATGAATATGTGACGCGTGGCAGCCAGCTGATATGAAGGTCCGACTCGTGATTTTTTTTTTCAGGATCACCACGCATCCAATTATATATTATCCAAACTCAACAAAGTTCCGATAGTCCCTTTTAAATTAGTCTATGCACGATAACTTATAAATTCTCTACGAAAGAAGCAACTTTAGAAAACGGAAGTTTTGATAGTAAACTATTTTATATGGGGATGAACTAACTTCTGTTCTTTTTCTATACGTTAAATATTCTTCTGCGTCGGTAACAACAATTTACAAATAAATAATAGAAAAGAGACATTAAAGATAGTTCATTGTGAGAATTTTCTTCAGAATTGAAACTTATATCCATTTCATGATAAAATTATTCTGAGTTAATATATCCCAGGGAATTAATAGAAGAGATAAAAATCATTGAAGTTATTGTAAAGCCTTTACGCGGAGAACAGGTTTAAATAAAATCTGGTAAATATTGGTAATTAAAGTCTAAGCAGAGCTGGAGCATCACATCCACACTTTTGGGACAAATTTCTGGGCGCGAATTTTAACGGCACTGATGGCAGGTTTTCCACGCAAAAGTGGCCGAATCGAAACCGATCAGAACCAAATTAAAAATGTAGGTATTTTTTGATATTATGCTCATGCTAGCATCGATATAATATTTTTTGTCCGCTTATATTAGTGCGTTAAACGCTAAGTTTCATTAAGAGTTCCATGCGCAAATTTTTCAAATCGAAACCGAACTTAACCAAATTTATATCGAAGCCATTTATTCGCAATACACTCCGGCTGGCGTTTTCAGAATTATAACAAAAATTGACAACGCCCTCAGGAGTGTATAATGTGTATTGCGAATAAAGAGCTTCGTTGTTTATGTTAAATAGGTCAAGGTCGGTTTCAATTTGACGAAATTATGCGTGGGAACCTGCCATGGAAATTCGACCCTGGGGTTCGTCCCAAAAATTTATCTCTAAAGTGTCGCTGTCGTCATTGGAACTCACCTGGGAAGCGCTGGTGGAGGCGTGTTTTTGAGAACCATATTGTGTGCCAGCTGCTCTGCTTCAACGCTTAGATGAACTGATAGATTGGCGATTTTTGTTGGAAAAAATTAAACTTTTTTCCTGAGCCAAGGCTCAAATAGATAAAAGTCACTGCTTGGTAGAAAGGGTGCCGTGTCAAATCAAATAACGGTATTGAACTTGGCCCAGTTGGAATCAATCGAGTTTTCTAGTATGAATTCTGACAGAATTCAACCGATGTAGTTATTGGTTTGAACACGAATGTAACGAAAATTCGTTGACGTAGTGAAACGAATACTTCGAAATTTAAAAGTGTGCTTCAAAGACAAATTTTAATTTGTCGCGTGTCTGAAACTTCAGAATTTTAATTATCATTATTTTTTAGCGCATTTTCTCATTTATGGAAAAAATGCACTATTGTGCTCGCCATGTCCGTCTGTCTGTCTGTCCGTCCGTCCGTCCGTGACCTCAAGTTTTCGTCGACGAGAAAATGCGCTCTCTGTCAGACTGTCACTCACTCACTGCAGTGAGTACTGAGTAATATTTTTGTTTTTTCTTGGTGATGTGGAAATAACACAGCGAAAAAATTTATTATTATCAAAATTCTCTGAATATTACATACTTAAATACTGGCGTCATATGATACGTGCGTCAAAACTAACAAACGTTGCAATTTAGACGTTTTCACAGTAATAGCCATCTATAGTGTTTCGTGAAAAAGCGTTGTCTGAGACAGCATGAATGTTGCCGTCTGCAGCAGCAGCTTTCTAATTTGTTTTTATCTTCGTTTATTTCTTTATTTATATTTATTTTATTGTTACATTTGTGTTACATCGACCGTCATTTATGTTCGTGACGCTGCAACATCTGATATGAGTCATATGACGAAGAAACAGATCAGTAGGTGGCTGCGTTTATCAAATTATTTTGTTCTGTAAAAATTGTTTTATAAACATTTGTTTATTTTGATTTCAGTCTCTTGCTAATTAATTTCATCATGTCATATTGTTGGTAGACTGTTAGTCTTACAGTGGTTCAACCGATAACGCGACTTAACCATTCTTTTCCCCATAAGGGCCAATAATGGTATATATTATGCCTTAGTCAGTAAAACCGTTGGTAGTTCGAAACTAATCTTGTGCCGTGGCATAACGATTAAACCGAGATTACATTACAGCTTGGCAAAAGGAAGATTTATATAAAAAATAAGAACATGTGAGGAAAGAATTGACGAAGTTATACCACATATGTTTTTGCATTTTGAAGTAAACACGCAAAATACTGCAGACATAAAAATTATAAAGGCATGAATAATTTTCACCGCCAGTTTGCGAAATTTCACTTTACAAATAATATTATTAGAGAAATATTATTCCGCTGTTAAAGGAATATTTCTAACAGAAACAACACATAACATGGGTTTTGTTTAAATTTTATTTTCACACCGGGGAACGAAGAATCGGAATTTTTTACGACTCACGCTTCGTAATAAACGAAAAAAGAAACTACACTTCCATTTGTGTGGTATATTGAACGCATGGAGTGGTCAGTTCAAATCTGATCAGTTCTTTTCACTAATAATGTAGTTATCAGTGATGACATCTAAATTGAATATTTGCATGCTAAGACCATTTAATTGCAATGCATCAGTATCATGTTCACTCAGCCCACGACCAACAAGAGAAACATTATTTGTTAGCCAGTTTTAAGTTGAACTAACTCATGAGAACAGTATAAAGGTCACTGTTTGAGACGAGTCGTCACAGCAACGGTTAGCGACCATTTGTAGCTGTGGAGACAATCGTCTGATTCTGTTCTATGAGAAATGTATCTTGTATACTATATAATGCAATATTAAAATATATTGCTGGTAAATTAACAGAAATGAGAAAGCACCATGGTCTGGAGATCCATTGCGTAATCGCTTAGGCTCCATAAGCTGAACTTCAAGTTTCAAAAACATTCGTTTCAGTCATCATATCTGTTTTTTTTTATCGCATGGATAGTTATCTTACCGGGTGTACTTTTTGGTTATAAACTATTGATATATTCAGCGTGCATGTTATACAGTTTCGTCATTCAGTCGTCAGTGTCGAATGTCATGATAAAAAAATGTCATCACTCGTCACGGTTGACGGATGGGCCGTTGCCGGCCAATTACATTGCCTTTTAATAATAAAATGGCTTTTTTAATCACGTTGGTAGGCTAAGAAATTATGATGGCCTAAAACTTTTTGTATATTTCAATTTATGAACAGCAAAAAGTTTAAGTTATTGCACCGTAAACTATAAACTTGCGAATGATATATAACTGTGGTCGGTTTTGGCCTTTTTACGAACGAATTTGGCCGTTTTCTTTGCCACCATCTGACAACCTAAGACTATACCGTACGTCTGGCAAGCGTCATGTTTACATCTCGGTATACGATTGGTGCACGTTATAGGCAGACTGGTGCTAAAAATCGACTTAATTGATGCAACTAAAATGATAGCTTCCACAGCGATCTTGATTTTAGTATATGAGTTCTAGACGGGCGGATATATTGAGATATATCTGACTAATAACATCTGTGAACATTCTCGCTGTCGTGGCAAGGTTTTTGTTAACGTTCCCTGCACTGTGCTGCAGCATACTAAAGTCAACTTGGGTGTTCGCCAGAAATCATCAGTGATGCAAGACGAAGCCTCTTGTAACCTGACGGACCGGCTTTCGTTTCAGTCTCAGTGAACGATTTGCTGTTAAGATAAGGAATTTGACAAGCAAAAGTTAGTCGGGGAAATTTTACAGTAAACGTGTCATAGTTTATCTCGCTATAGCTTTGCTGAATGTTTTCTCACACAGTCTCTAAGTAAACGCCAGGTTCGGCCAGTTACTTAGCATTTACAATTTCCAGGCGAGGTTAGTCGGGGCCACACGTAATGCAAATTGTTGGTCGAGGTTTTTTTTAGGGTCCGGCGATAGCGAGATGGACGGGTGCTTATAAACTGTATGATTAGTGCTAGGTTTTGGGTTTGAGACCAGCTAGCTGTAAAAATCCCGCAATGTCAAGAAATTTTGACAGGTCTAACATTGTCTTATCTCCCCCGCTTACCAAATTCCAATAGAAATCGCGCTCTTCAAAAGAACTACACGATTCTAATTTATTGGTAATAATTTATGTACATTGTTTTCAAACTACTTCATGCGTCGAGCGCGCTCATCGATAATATATTGTAAGAGCGTCAACGAGTCAATCGTTCGTGTTATTCGAGCATCGACCATCTAGCAAGATAAAGCTCGAACACAGCCTGCCGAGCACTCGATTGGACGCCTCAAGCAACTAGTAAGGACTATTGACATTTTTAAAACATACACTAGAGATTGAGTAGATCAGGCATTGGACAGTTATAAGGGCTAAAGGTCTTATTTAGGGACTTTACAATATTTTTGAGGCTGAAGCCCCCCTGAAATAGCCATAGCGACTACTCAGATCAGATAAATTTTCAGCACATTAATGAACTAACGCTGTCTAAATTGATAGTGAAGTCGTTTTCAAATAACTACACATCTGATGCTCGTGTGTATCTACCATCAAAATTTAATTTTTATACAATAGGTCTGGTTCAACCGAATATCAAGTCAATCAGACTTGAGTTCCTACATCTGTAACTCATCACTGATGAAAATACTGTCCACAGCTCTACAGCAGTTTTTCATCACCAGAGGAAACATCACTCCCGAATTTTTCGCTAGCGAGTTCAAGTTCGTCGTAGAACCAGATTTCTATTTCTTTGTCCAGCAATGGCAGCCCAACCGTATAACTTTTCCTGGATGGTGCCTGGCGAAATCTGCGCCTGCGCGCGCCCCGACCGCCGTGCGCACGCTCAGTTCCTCAGGTACGCTACTCCATAAGTTTGGAATAGGCCGCTCATTGGGTGCTGGTGAAAAATCATTTGTGGAGTTGACCTAACGGCATGTTAGGCCTGGCACGAGATGAAGTGTCGCGGCCGGCCACGGAGAGATAATATGTTGAGTTGTCGGTCAAGTTAATAACTGAGCTGTGACACAGCATGAACGTTAAAAGGCTAAAAATTTCAATTGATTGCAAGCAAGAAACTGAACCTGATTTCTCTCCAATTGAATGATATACAACTGCAATTAAAACAACTAAAATTGTGCACACGAAAATAATAGCAAACTCCCGGCTATCGGCAGGGACGCCGGTGTCCGGTACGTGGTGTGCTTGTCAGACGACCTGCCGCCTGCCCCATATCCGGACCTGCACATCCAAACTATTCCCGTTGAGGAATTCGAACCCCCAACCCTCGACCAAATACATGAATTTATCGGGATCTGTGAGCTAGCGAGAGCGCGGCAAGTGGTGAGTATTTGTCTACTCGGGTGCTGCCAGCAGACAAACATTTCATTGTACTCCTAGAAACGATGCTGGTCTACGAACATTATACTCACTTATGTCTATAGGTAACCATTCAATAACACGTGACTGTCCCCTACAATGTTGAATTGATTCCTGCTGAGATACCTAGTACAATCTGTTTCACTGGGCTTGTAGAAGGACGACAAAATTAATTAAAATATCAAAATTTCGAAGGACTAGGACTAGCAATAAAAAAGTGCGAGTTATTAATCAGATGTCTAAAACTCTCCTTTGCTCATCTATTCTATTCCTGGGGTGAGGCTGTCTGCGTGCATTGCCGTATGGGGCGCGGCAGGACGGGAGTGATGCTGGCGTGCTACTTGATTCGTTACCAGGGCCAGGTGCCACAACAGGCCATCAGCAACGTCAGGTTCAAGAGGCCTTACAGCATAGAGACTTGGGAGCAGGAGTTCGTCGTCAAGGACTACTATGACCACTGGACTAAAGTTAGGACAGTATGAAGTCGCACTAGATAGATAAGTAAATAATTTCAAGACATTCCATCAGAAAAATATTGAGGTACATGGTGTCGTGTTTTGAAGTGTTGATAGGGCGCTTATCATATTTTAAACTGATTTACTGTCTACGGTTAAATCCGGCTTGATCTGTCTCATGACCTAAATAATTGGCTAACCTGCTCATTTGCTTCTTCTGCCAAAGGTTATCAACGTGATACCTGGAAGTCCAATAAACTAAATCGTGTAAACCATCCTGAAATAAATGTTATACTTTTTACTTATTTCATTCTTCAGAACATTAGGTAGGATGCAATGGAACATTTGATACAATGAGAGTAAGAGAGAGCGAATATTTCACGCTTCTGATCATTTAATAAGGCAATAAAAGTCTTAGGCAATCATTGATTGAGATGCAACAAAATTGTTCAAGCCTTTTCTCAATATAAATTCATTAAATCCATACAAAGACCTAGTAATAAATGGTTATAGTACGATAATGCTGACAAATAGCGCTCAATTTTTACAATTGCTCATGCTTCAAATGTCCGCTATTCGACCGGTGTCTAACACTAACACTATAGTAAATAACAGTATATTACAAGATAATCAAATAAACTTACTAATTCTTCAATTGACTAGATGGATCGACTTCTTTGAACTCGGAGTCTTTATCCTTTTTAACCTTAAGAACTATAGGAGTGTTGGAGTCTATGATAGGCTTGGCTTTCTCCTGCGGTGTTGAGGGCACTACAGCAGTCACCAGCACCGAGCAGCCTTTGGATAGAACGCCGTTCTCGTAGGCCAGGGCGAGCTGGTTCACGACGCGTCGCTCCACCTGCATAATACACGTGTGTTTGATTCTTGCTACAATGAAAAGGTGACACATATATTTTGTAATGAAATAAACAACAATATATTGCTATAATCTGAACTGGAAAACAAACTGAGTTAAGTCTAGTCCAAAATAGAACAAAATAAAAAATTGCGAATTAAAAGTGTTCTATGTCGTTACTCCAGTTGTTGACTGTGTAGTAAATAATAGCTGAAATAAATAAGGACGTCAAATTTAGCATTTCCCTGATGGTATAACAATTAATCAATTTACAATTATAATCCAGAAATCAATAAACAATTATCGTTCAAAATTTGTCAACACTGCAACGGACCATCAGTAATAGTAAACGCTTCCTTTAATAGTTACAGCAGCTGTGTGGAATATTTCTAGTTTGATTCGTGAGCAAGGTCCACAGAACGGGCCACAGACTGGAAGCCTAAATCTGGTTGAATCGCACAGTTAAGAAGCTCCATAATGTGCAAAAAACTATTTGGAATTTGTCAATGTCAAAATGTTGGTTACGCGGTTATACTCGTACGATAATGAGCGAGAGCAAAATGATAACTTTCATAAAAAAAAAACAATACAAGGACAAAGGATACACCAGAAAGCATTAATTGTTTAACGTAGGCATTACACGGTTATACTCGTACGATAATGAGACAGAGCAAAATGATAACTTTTATAAAAAAAACAATACAAGGATAAAGGATACACCAGAAAGCATAAATTGCTTAACGGAGGCATTTACAAGCAAGAAACATGCCGCTGTATGAAGATAAGCTTCATTCCACTCACTTCGTGTTTGATGGAACGAGCTCCGTAGTGAACATTGTAGCCATCAGCGAGGGCATCCAGGACCAAAGGGTCGAATTTCAATGTTATCGAATGTTTCTTCTCGGCCTGAAAAAATTGTCTACATAAAATTTTATTGATACCAAATAATGGTATCTTCCATTTTTACTCGTAAACTCACATAACTGAAGATGTAAAAAATCATTACAGATAAGGAACTTGAATGATGACAGAAGTAACATAGTCTAATATCTATCAGGATCTGTAGTTCTACACACGAATGAATTAAAACATTAGAAGAAAGGAAGCGATGGTACCTACTAACTAATCCCAGGAAGCCAGTAGAGGCTATACAAAATGAATTATATTAAAAAAATAAGCACTGACCCGTTGAATCCAAGCTTCTAGTTCCATACGAACGAGTTGAAGCAGTTCAGCTCTCGAGAAAGGAACAAAGTAAACGATCTCATTGATGCGTCCTAAGAACTCGTCACGCTGGAAGTGGCTCTTCAGGATAGGGCGGATGACAGCTTCCTTGAAACTGATGAGGAAATTGTTGGAATCTCTTAGTTAAAAAACGGTACACACACAACTAAAATGATAAATAAAACCGAATTGATTTTGTAACTGATGGGTATAACAAGAACTAAGACAATTAACTTTCAACACGCTTGAAATGTTTTTTTCTGATCATGAGTTTGACCGTTTTATCGAATGGGAAACTCGAGATTCAGAATCTCACGGAGATAACAGAAACACTCGAGGCAACATGCGAGTATGAGGATCATTTGACAGCTTAAGTTGCAAATTAATTGTAATGTACGCACAAAAATTGGCAAAAATTTACAATATTTATATGAAAAAAAGTGAATTTCTTGACATTTTCTTTGCTCATGAATACTTAACTAACAAACGAGTATTCCTTTAATTAGAAAGCATCTGATTAGAATGTTTTAAATTTGAATTTAACATTGAAGCCAATGACAACATATTTTAATTTAACATTCAAGACAGTATATCCGAATAATTGTTCATATACACGGTAGCAGACATGAACTTTAACTCGTAGAAAAATTGAATAACATTTTCTGTAACAACACAATTGGGTTGAGTTTCAAATGAATGCAAGGCATAAGATAATCATAAAGACATGTGAGGTCCAGTAGATCATAGTCACTCTTGGCTCTTCAATAACTGCACTAAGCTGCAAATGACAAATGAGTAAGCCACAAATCGCACTAAACCACAGAGTATCAAACTAAGCGCCAGGATATGAGGCCTACTTGCGCGATATGGTGAGCGGCGCCTCGACGGCCTCGTCGCTCGGTTCCTGGTCGTAGCGATGAGCGGACAGCGCCTCCGCCTCCTCGCGTAGCTGCAAGGCGTGACCGGCGATCTCGTCGCTGCCGAGGTTCGAAGTCATGATGAAAATAGCGTCCTGTGTTGCACAAATAACCATCAAAACCATAAAAAAACAAGTGCTAGCTGCAATTAGTTAGATCTCTTGTACGACACAAAGGAATCATTTAATGTGTCGTAAAAAGATTTCTGAATAGTCTATAAACATTGCAATCTGCTTTAAGATGAAATTCGCCTCATTTTCATCAACAAATGCAAACTAGTAGCAGGAATTTCATGGTACGGAAGCTATACCTTACACTCGATAGTTTTGCCCTTGCCGTCAGTTAGTCTGCCCTCGTCAAAAAGTTGGAGAAGGATTGTCAGCACATCTGGATGTGCTTTTTCAACTTCATCAAAGAGTACCACGGCGTTGGGATTCTTCCGTAATTTTGTAGTCAATTGACCGCCTTCATCATGGCCTATGTAACCTGTAAGGGACAAGTACAAACTGGAAGTCTTCAATCATGCACACTTAGGACAGGAACCTACAGTGCTACATCAGATAAATCCATAATCCTGACGCCAGGATGCAGGAATAGATGGAAAATCTATACATTTGATTAACATATTTTGATGAAAACCATACAATATGTACACAAAATTATTATGTATGCTGAGAATTACGAAATCTATTGTGGAACAAGTAGTTCAGTCCTCAGAAGTTATTCCTGCCAGATGCATACTAATGAATATTTCTAAGTTGAAGGTACACGTAAATGATATCCATGAACTAAAGGAATACACGCGACATTATTTGAATAGGTGTGTTTTCATACAAATATTTGCAAGGCTGGCTGTATTCTAAGAACACGTCTAAAACGTTTCTCACCAGGAGGTGACCCAATAAATTTTGATACTTCGTGTTTCTGCTGGTACTCTGACATGTCCATTCTTATGAAGCCATCCTTGTGGTCTTTATGAAGATAAGACGCAATCTGCTTGGCGAGCTCAGTCTTCCCGATTCCTGAGGAGCCCAGGAAGAGGAACACCAGAGGATGTTCATCGTCACACCTGAATATGGTTAATCAGTTCAAACAAATCAGTAATAAACAGAGAGTATTAAAGATAGAGTTATTTGCGAAAAATTAATTCCACGTATTAAATAACAAACTAAGTCACATATAACTAACGGTAAATCGGAAAACATAAGACATCAAAACGTACCAGCCATTTTCTTTCCTACGAATGGTAGCACAGACAGTGCTGATGGCTCCAGTCTGGCCAATGATGCTCTTCTTTATCCTCTGTTCAATTGGAAACTTTCTTCTCTCTTCAATTTGCTGCTCTTTCTTCTTGTGTTCAAATCTCTGCATGTGGTTTTGCATCAACTTCCTCATGCCAATATCTCGGGCATAGTCAGCTGGTGGTAGTTTGTACTCGTTGCACAACGTGGGATCCGCGCCTGTACAGAACAAAACTGTTTAATAAACTGCTTATGGAGTTTATATTTAGTGAAAAGTCATGTTTAATAAGAGAATATTTAAAAAAAGTATTCTTACACATTATCTTTCAGCAAGATGACTTGTGCTACAGCAGCAACAAAGATTTAAAAGCCTTTATCACTTATCAAGAAAATTAGGGGTTGATAAAATTAAAAGTTTGCTTGAAAAAAAAAAAATAAAATAAAAAAAACATGTGGTCTTAAGAAGCCAACAAGTTGAATTGTCAAGTCATGTCTAGCAACAAGTGCACTTGCACAGGTAGAGGTTAGATGTAGGTACTTGACCTACCAGCATCAAGGAGTGCCTGCATGGTGGGTGTGTCATCACTGAGGACAGCGTAGTGCAGAGCAGTGCAGCCCCGGAACATTTGACTGTGATTAAGCCGTGTGCTAAACTCTGATTCACGCACAACTTCAACATTTGTTGGACTTGTGCGATTTTCCCTGGCCACCTGCAAATCAAATTAAATTAGCTAAGTGTACAAGTGAAAAAAGAATCTCTTGTTTCATTAAAAGGAGCATAAAGTTTCAGGTATACTTTTCTTTGAATATTTTGTCAACAAAATATTTGTCTAGCATAAACATTGAATAAAATTAATATGTATTAATTTGCATCAAAACTTGGTGTATCAATCTCAAAAAAATACCAATCCTATTCCCCATTGCAGTATAAAAAGCATTTAGGTGTTTTTAAAATAATTGAGGCATAATGACGAGACAGAAAATACGCAATTCATGTAAGAACAGCAAACTAGATAAACAAGGCTCGTTTTCAAAATTTACATACTTGATAAATATTAGAAAAATTGTCCTGGGCGTTAGGGTCAGCCCCATGCTTGAGTAGCCACTTGACAGCTTCAGTGCGGCCATTGATGGCAGCTGCATGCAGTGCAGTCCATCCATACACATGCCGGCAGTTCACGTCAACACCCAATAGAGCCAATGACTGAAAATTTAAAAATCAAGACTTTCATTAGTTGGAGAAATTAAATCCCACAATGATCCCAATTTACAAACATCCACTGGTATGATACACAAATCAATGGTTAGCATCATTGAGGTGATCAAATGTAATAATTGTAAATTATTATGTTTGATTATAATTTGAAATAGTTGGAATATAACATCAGCACAGTTATTATGCTGATGCTAGCCCACAACAAGTGATGCAGATTCATACTACATTTAAATTGTTGGGGATATTTTTAAATTTATATATCAACTTCATTTATTTATATTATAATGCAGATGATAATACTATAATAATGACATTATGTACACAGGAAACTTGAATTAAAAAAAAAGGAAAAATGATTGTTTCTCCACATTTTTTAATAAATGTTTTCTCTTCAAACAGACCATACAGTTTTTTAACCACAGAACTAATCAGAAAATACCAAACAACAGTTTAGATTCTGAGTGTGAAAAATGATTCAGTCAAGTAAAAGTTTGCAATAAAAATTGCACTTATATGTAGGATATCAACTTAGTCCTTGAACTAAAATTCAAATTTTTTTCTGCAAAATACAAGGAGTTCCCAATCTTATAACATGTAGTCTTTTCCAAATAAAAATTAAATAATACCAAGTCATACCTCAAGCCTTTTGATGTTGCCAACCATGGCTGCAAGGATGAAGTCACGTTCCTGGAGTAACTTCTGATGTTGGTCAGAATGACAGAGTGCATACGTCAATGCATAAGTTGCTAGAAATTTTCTGTCACACATAAAATTATAGTACTGGAAATTCCAAACATACCTCAACAAACTATGAGACCTAGAACATCCTGCTGTCATCCGCAAAATGTTTTGTTGGAATTGAAAACTTTTTGAAAAGCTATTGGAATGGTATAAGTTAAAAATAGGCTTTCTAAGTCTTCTCCAGAAGAAATTCATGATGAAAACCTTGCACAATTTTGAGCAACCTGTTGAAAAATATTCATCACACTTATAACAATAAGAAATCCAGAGAAGTATTCAAGTGTTTTGTCTAAACTCAAATTAGAAGCCAGTAAAATTGTTTTAGCTTGCTTATGTTACATATGTACAAGATTTAACTACCATCAAATGGGGTAATAAGGGACGGGGGGTAATACGGGACAGTCCTCTGACATTTGTTGGAGGAAATGTTGCAGCAGCTAAACCAATTAAAATATTGCAAAACAAAAAATTGTGGCATAAAGTTCAACAACAAGTTTTTCCTATCTACCTATGTAGCATAAAGCAAGTTAAGAAATCATACACTTACTACCTATAAAAATACTTGAAGAAAGTGTGAAAAGTGATATGGGAAAGAACCTCTGCTAAGGTCTGCAGCAAAAAAAAAAAAAATATTCACCATATTAAAAAATTTTACTGACATAAAAGTTGCACACAGGTGTTGGCTTAAAAATGTGATCAACAAAATTAGCGTATCCCATTCCAGAAAAAAATGACGGCCATTTCTGCACGATGGGGTAATAAGGGACTTTCCCTGGGTAATAAGGGACGCCCCTAAAAGTCTAAAACACATTTACAGTAGAGCTTTGGTTAACAAAGGCTCCAGTTAACAAGAAAATCAATCAACAACAAAGAATTTTGATTAGGTTTACCTTGCTCAGTGAAAAAATTTCACTCGACAAAAAATTAGTGCATCATAAGTCATTACCAAACTGTGCATGGAATTTCATAGATCAAATTGTTCACCAGGCAACATAGAATGAAAAGTAATTAACTTATAGTATGATTTTTTTCTCAAAAATATGATGGTTATCACTAAAATATTCCTTTCTGTTTCACGTGAGTTTTTTTTTTACAATTTTTTATAGTGAATTCACTTGACTCAATTAAAATGGTGTGAAATTACAAGCCATCCTGTAAGCTTACCTACAGAAGAAATGCTACATGGCTGCTGATATGAAGCTTGCAGTGGACAAGGTTGTGGTCAATGCTCAATGGCATGTCCATGGATACAGTAATATCACATCACAAATATGCTAATGTATGGATAAGGTAATATCATATCAATAATGGAAAAACAAGTAAAAATCACAGAAAATGTCATTTATTCTACATTTACATCCTCTACAAAGAAAGAGAAGGACTTCAAAGTACTGTTAGTAATGGATGAGCACACTCTGCATGCTTCAAATGTCCCTTATTACCCCATTCCAGGGTTGGTTCAGGAGGCTTTTATTTTGTGTCTGGCATCTTACAAATAGCATATGGAATGTTTTCAGAAACGCCATATGATAGCCCTTGCAAAGAGCTTTGAAATGAGCCTAAACTTGTTTATGAAATGCTTCATGGTAAGAAGTTATTAAGGAAAAACGCTCAAAACCATCCCTTATTGCCCCCTTTGATGGTACTCATGCCTAATAAGCATTACCAATCTGAGTAAAGGTGATGCTAGAATTTTTTTGAGGATTCATTAGCTGAACAGATACAAATGACTGCTGCATTGATTTGTATGTATATAAGAGGAAGACTGAGAAGTACTTAAAGACTAGGTCAAGGGCATCTTCCAAGCATACCACCAAGCCTCACCTTTAATTGGCATTAAAGCTTAGCAGCCATATGGGAAAATGGGGCAAAATCCACCCATGACCATCAATGAGATGAACATGCCGTACTTGTGGTAAATATTACCCATTTTTATGGCTCTAGCCTAATTTATAGCATAAAAAATAAGAAAATGGTATATTTTCCATCATGATTTTGGGAAAATTATGCCTAATATTCAAAATTAATTTAGTAGCAGATATGATCATAAATATGTTTAGTAGTGAATCTAATCACAAATGATAGATCAATCTATCAATCCAAACCCCAGGATTGGTTATTATTTTCTCATTTCCCACTAGGCCGAGTTTGGCAATTTTGTTGACAAGTTGAGGTTTATAGGCCCAGAATATTGCCAGTATTATTGAGAATTGGTCCCTAGAATTACCTAAACCTTGGGCATTAAGAGACACTCCCCCCTCCCCATGGCAATACGGGACACCCCTAAAAACGCATTTACAGTAGAATCTTGGTTAGCAAAAGCTCCAGTTAATGAAAAATCTATCAACAACAAAGAATTTTGATTACATTTGCCTTGCTCAGTGAAAAAAATTTCACTTAATGAAAACTGAATGCATCATCGGTCATCACAAAATTGTGCATAGAATTTCATAGATAGAATTGTGCACTCACTGGCCACTGCACTGGGCAACATAGACTGAAAAGTAATAAACCTAAACTATGATTCATTTCTTCAAAAATATGATGCTTGTCACTTAAATATTCCTTCCTTTTTCAGGTCCATTTTGTACAATTTTTTGTTGTTGTAGTAAATTTACTTGACCCAATTAAATGGTGCAAAATTACAAACCAAGTCCTGTAGTAAGCTTACAGTTACAGATACAGAAGAAATGCTATACAGCTGCTGATGTGAAGCTTGCAGTGGACAAGGTTTTTGTCAATGCTCAATGGCATGATTGGCATCATTGGCATGTCCATGGATACGGTTATATCATTTATATCATATCAATCAAGCGTGGAAAACCTCTTTTAGGGCAGCGACTAGAGCTTTCCCGCCATTTCCAGAACTGGTTATATCATATCAATCAAGCGTGAAAAACCTTTTTTAGGGCAGCAACTAGAGCCATGGTGGCAAACAAATTTTTTGCTTGACTAATTTTTAGACGCATTCATAACTTTATAATTCACATTCACTTTTTGTTATTTTACTACACTGGGCCCGATTTGGCATGTATTAAGTATTTTCAAATTTGTTATGTTTGAATGTTCTACTTTTGATTTGATTAATGTTTGTATCACAGGTTCACAATGGTAACAACAATGGCTTCTGATTGCTGTTGCCACAACAAGATCGAGAAGTAAACAATACCCCCATTCCAAGGAATACCAGCTGTTACATGTTAGATTGGGATTCAGTCACTATATTAAGGTAAATGAGTTTGATCAAATTTTGGTTATCTCAAATTTTAACAATTATTTTCAGATAACAAGACAATTTTTACAGACAACCTTATAAATTTTATCTAAACTATAAATTAGATACAGGCTTGTTAATCATAAAATAGCTTACTATATTACTTATAAAATTGACACTCATTTAGTTGAGGTCAAATTTGCTTTCATGGTCATACATAACTTACAGAAACAAAAGACTAATGATATGCAAACTACGGCACAGCCCATTTAGATTGGTTGCTGTAATCTTTGGCGTCTTGAAATTTCATAGATGATATCTAAGATATTGTTAAATGAATGTATATGAAATTGATCAGGCCTTTTTTTATTTACATCAAGTGAGAGATGTCTTGGACAATGTCCAAGACGCAAGTGAGAGCAAGCACCTTAGTTTATTTGAAAACCAATTTTGAGCATAAAATGATTACAAAAAGCAGAGAAGAATCATATTTTGACAAAAATTTAACAATGATTATTTGGGGTTGTGTTTTTAAGACATGAGGTTCCTCTATAGATATTATTTGTAGGATATGTGATTTAGTATTGCCAAATTTATGATAAATATACATATATACACTCCCATGTTTCCATTTTAGATGTAACTCCATTACAATAAACGTAATAAGTTGGTCGTTTTATTTTTGCCTCTGTCATTAAGGCTATTCTAAGAAATTACAAACCCCTTCCCGCATTCAACAAAGTCTAAGGAACCTTTTGTTATGACAACATGCATCCCTGCTTGGTGTTGCTGGGATCGGTAATCCCTTATATTAGAGAATACCGTTGCAATTATCAAATACCATATACCAAGAATGCAGCTCCTGTACTGACATAGTCGTATCTGCTATCATTATTATAGAAAATGATTCGTATCATTTCAGAAAAGACACATTAAAATTCCCATTAAACATTTGAATAGCCTATCTTTGCATACTATAGGTACCGTAAAATGGGGTAACTTAGACCGGCGGGGTAACTTAGACCACTTTTCGTGGTAGTCAATTAGATTAACTTAGCTCAGACATTGTAGCAGGTGTTAGCAGAGCGCATTATCATAACATACGTTAGTAGGTAGGGCATATTACCATAACATACATTAGCTACGTTAGCATAGCGCATTCTCACATTAGCACCCATTAGCAGAGCAAGTTAGTATACATTACCAGAGCACAACAGCACACATTAGCAATAAACCGTAGCACACTTTAGCCTTGCACATTACTACACGTTAGCCAAAAATGTTGCTCTCTTAGCAGTGCCTGTTAGCGAACATTAGTCCAACCAGTCGTGTCAACAATTTTGGGACGAATTTTTGGAATGAATTTTTTTAATAGCATGTCTAATAAGCATAAGTTGGATATTTCAATCATGAAAAAGCTAAGATAATACTCTTCAGCGAGCGCTGTCAGATTTAACTCAGATTTTAACTAGCGCGATTAGCGATATATGCTCATTTTTTTGCACGTTTTATTGCATACGTTTATATAATAGAAACCAAGCTTGACCCTTTCAAAAACGAAGCTACATATTCAAAATACACTACTGCAAGCGCATAGGGCAGTTTTTGTAACTATAACTTCTCGAACAATTTTACGGCCAGGCTCACGGCCCGTCTCCAAGTTTCAGTGAGCTTAACGTTGCTCTAATTGATCAAAACAGCTTGATGTAAATTTACACATGCGTTCAGAAAGACCTTACAGTGATATTCAGGCCGTGATAATTTTTTTCAATTTCGCTTTCCTTTGCGAGTTATGCTGTCCTAAATTTGTCAGGTGCCTAATATATATCCAATCCATCTGCACAAGCTTTCTCATATTACTAGAAAAATTTCCTTTTTAATTTGGTAATTATCACTTAGGTTCAATTTTATAAACTTATGCGTGGAAAAAGTGCTATGAAACTTAGTTCTGTAAATTTGTTTTAAAATATTGTACACGATGTCGAATCAATATGTCAATTGCAAAAAAAATCCCTCAACGT